TTTCTCTTGCTTTCTAGGTGCACCTTCATTTAGTACCTAACACAGTGCTTGCATACAGTAGGCACTTAGTACCAGCCTGGTGAATGACAACACACAGGTGGGTGTCCCCCAGTGCTTTTCTGCAGATCAGTTTGTTTGAGCAACTGTCTTGTTTTCCTTTAAAATTAGCACTCTTATCCTTCCAGACTGGCCACAGAATGGGACCATACAACCAGCTTGCAGTAGTAGCTTCGTAGAGTCCCCAACTAATGACTGTCTTCTCCAGAGGACCAGGAAGTACTTAGGGGCTTCCCTCTCCTGCCTAGGATGGGGCAGAGTACCAAGTCCCTGAGCAAGAGTGTTAGGCCAGTGCCTCCCCAGTTCCGTGGGTGTTCAGACATTGCTGTAACGGATGAAAGTTACGTGCTTTCCTCCTTGCCTGAGGCACGGTGTGGTGTGTGTGTGTGTGTGGGGTCACTCTGGAACAGAATATTCGGTCTTCCTGCGTTCTTCCCGTTTCTGGGACTACTGCAAGGGGGGGAGTTCATGGATAGCTAGCCAGAGTACCAGCTGTAGTTTGGGTGGAAAGTCTTAGCCTAATTTTGTCTGCCAGCTAGCTGTTACCAAATCGCACATATTGAGGGGGCATTAATTTTGTCACCTGCAAAATCATTCAAAAAGCTCTTTCTTCTTGAAAGGCACGCAGGGGTGAGCAGAGAAAATTCATTTCAACATTACAGAGCTTTCTTTTCAAGATCCCGGCCAGTCTTTGATTTTTCTCCTCATGATGCAGCATATAGTGTCATGGATAAGTCCAGTCAATTGTCACCTTACGTATCATTTGGTGTGGTTCTCTAATAGTTCATTTTTGGGTCGTATTTTACACGAGGTTATAGATCAACAGCAGTGTATTTCCTGAGCCACACAGTGTGGTGGAGAGGGGCTGGGGCTTTTTCTCAGACAGACTGATGCCACAGCTGTTCCTGAAATGTGGCTCCTTATTATTCACTAGGCCAAAAAAACTCCACGTGGGTGACCAAGTTCTAACAGGAGTTCTTCTTTAATGGGTCTCCTGAAAAACTGCTTCTCTGAAAAGTACCTCTGATTGTCCCTTCCCTAGCCTCCTCTCTTTGAGTGATAATGGGAACAGAACCTAGGCCTTGCAGATGCTAATCATGTACTCTTCCGCTGAGGTGCACTCTAAACCCGCAGATATGTTCAGTTTCATCATCACCTTTGCCCAGATGCCAACCCTCCATGAATTTGCTGTCAGCTCCAGTCCTGCATCTCCATTTCCCCAAGTGGCATTTCCTCTTGTGATTACAGGATCCTTTGATCTACCTCCCTTGCATTAAAATCAAGAAAGTCCAGAGATGTAGTGTGGCTTTGCCAAATGACCTTAATCAAAAAAGAACGAGACAGTATGTCAGATTCACCCATTTCCCGGGACATAGATGACTCTGTCCACACTGTCCATGGAAGACAAGACATCCCTGCACACCCAACACAATGACAAATCAAGTGTTCATCCTTTAAGCCTAGCTCCTGAGTTTTCTGTCTTTACTTAACAGAATCTCTGAGAAGACAAAAGTCTCAGATCCACACACATGACTCTCTGCTTGCCCCCAAATGGCATTCATCAGGAGCTCAAGTTGTATCTTGATGTATGCATGGATTAATGACTAGGAGAAATGGCCATCATTGTATTGTGCTCCTCAACTCACACTTCTTTCCCCTGCTTCTAAAGACTCACCAGACACCAGGTTCTATTAGTGTGGTCCCCTCCTGGCTTGTGGTTCCTCTTCTCCTTACTTCCCTTCCAAGCTCCAGACCTTATGTCCTTGGACTAGAGAAAACTTCACCTTCTGAGCCCAGACCTCCCATCTTCCACGGTTTCCTGTCCATATTCTTTTAGGATAAAAACCTCATGAGATGTCTCAGTGTCTGCCCTGGACACAACCCCTTATCCAGTTTTGCCCTTATACTTTGCTTGCCCTGCCTGCCTTGTTTACTCTGTGAATTCTGAGCATTGCTCTGGCTCAGACAAATAGAGCCTGCACCACTACGACAACCGCAAAGGTATGCAGCAGCAGCAGCAGCAGGTAGGATGTTGGACACACCGTCACTAGTCAAGCACCGCACAGAGTTATTCATACGCATTATTTTATTAACCTTCATCAGACCCTAGGAACTGAGGCCAATTATTAGCCTCATGTTCCAGTGGTAGAAACCCATGCTCAGAAGTGTCAAGGCATTTACCAAAGGTCACAGACCCAGTACCAAAACAGATGGAATTCATACATAATTCTCTCAGATAGCCAAGCCATGCTCCTAACCCCTAGGCTGCTTTGCCTAAAGCTATTTTCTTCCTCTGTCAGCCCCCCAACTCCGCAGAGCTGCTCACTTGCAAGTTTTCATGTTATCAGTATTTTATTGAACAACCTTTTCAGCGTACGTGCTTTTTGCCCCTGGTCACACAGTAAGCCACGAGAGAGAACAGGAATTACATTTCTGGGCCCTTATCGGTTTTCCCTCATGTGTACATTGCTAACTGAACTGATCAAGAGAGAAAAGTACTCCATTCTCTGTTAGTTTTCTTTTTCTTCCCTTAGGTAAATGAGTATGGTTCCCCTCTCTTCTTCCTCAGCCTGCAGGGAGATAAGGGATAAAACCCAGCGAGAGGAAAGTCCTACATTCAGGTCCTGAGTCTTATATTCAGGTAGGTCATCCATAATCTAAACCTTTCTGCATGTCCTCAGGACACCACAAATGAAAATTCCATACCAGCAAATGGTTTTATGCATGATAGTTGAAACAATAATCCCCCCAACCTACCTACGGCATGTAAATGACCTTCAGGCAGTGCATGTGGGGTATTTGTAAAACACAGATGGGTTTTGTGTTTAGATTTTCATCCTGCTTCTACAATGTCTCTTATACAAACATTTCAAAACCCACAGAACCTGAAACTCCAAAGACTTCTGGTCCCAAGTCTTTCTGATAAAAATAAATAAATAAATAAAAATGCTCGTCTTCTGTGTTTGCATAGACTCTATCAGGGAGACAGGCCTGCCAGCATTTACTGGACCGACTTAGGAACTGTGAAGCTTTTACTCCTGCGGCCTTTGCATGGTTGTAGATATTCCAAGAGGAAAGTAAAGTTCCCCTAAAACTCCAGTCACTACCGGGAACCACTGTGGGACTGAATTACTTTCCTGAGAAAAATAAATGCAGTTGACAATTACACGGCCCTGTTTATACCCGACCACAGTATGTCTGTTAACTGATCCATGTAAAATTACCACCACAGGACCACACAGATCATTCTGTATGTGGAAAGTGTTCGGTTGGGGCTCAGTCATCAGAAAGCTGGTGGACATCAGGTTAGTCATTGTCTCTCTCGGGACCCCCATTTTCTCCTGTCCTGGCAATTCTGGGATATTAATTAAGATGATGTATTGGTCTGAGTTCATGGTAGCCCTAAACCTTTAGAATCCAAGAGACAAAAATACTAGGAAATCTGGTGAAGGTGCCATACCTGGGTAAGAAACGGGGCTTTTCTCATGCGCTCTGCCACTTACTGATGTCCCCAGCCCCAAAGCTCTGCCTTAGGTAAGGCCTACACCTGTCTACAGAGCCACTCATGTGCTCTGTCCACACCTGTGCCACCCCACCCTTTCCTGATCCCAGAGGAAGAAGCAGGCAGCCTCCCTGTCCTAGAAGCCTTGCAAAGTCATCTCTACAGCCCAGCCCCTCCCCTTTCAAAGATGCCTATGCCCTCTGTGTGCTTAGTATGTTAAACGCCAAAGGTTTCTTGAGGTCCCAGCCCCTAGGGCGGGAAGTGGGAGAGGCAGATGGTCTGCATCTGGAAGCCATCACCGGCTCCCTGGCTTTGCTGGTAAACCAAAACTCTCTGTTTGTTACGGTGTGTGTGTGTGTGTGTGTGTGTGTGTGTGTGTGTGTGACAATTGTAGGTTTTTGGTTTTGTTTTGTTTCCTTTCCTTTTAGTCTCTTACAAGACTGCTTAAGTTGAGTTTGAGCTAATGAAGGAGGCTGGTGGGCAGACATGCTTGCTCAGCCAAACCAGATGGTATTTCTGTGCGCTTTGCCAAAACATGCTCTGAAGCCATGGTATATGGCTATGTGGGTAGAGATTCAGAAAGCACATGCCTTCTAAAGGCAGGGACCCTGGAACTGGGGAGTTCACATAGGAAAAAGATCACGGTAGTTAGGCAAATCTGAATGTGGAGTGTTAGGATAAGTTTGCCTCTGGACTGTGGTGACAATGTGTGTGGCTGTGTCCATGATATAACTGTGCAGAGCTGCTCACACTTGCTCTAGCAACCGGGGTGTGCAAAGGAAACTGAAGTCAGGAGACTCAGGCCCATGGACTGAAGTTCACTCCCTGCTGGCTAGAGGACTAGAGTTATGCAGAATGTTACTACTGGGGAACCCCACTCCAGGGACCTATCTATGATTTCTTGACATTCCCTGTCAACCAATAATGACTTTTAAAGAAAATGTAAAGAGCAAACAAATGAAAGTCAAGTGCAGTAGGGATGGACTGGAACATGTGTCCCCAAGGGCCTGGAAAACAAGTTCAAACACTGCTTCATAAGAGGCTGGTGACTAGCCCATTTTTAACAATAACTTCATCACCATCATCATCATCATTATCACGATACCCCCCACCATCTGAAGGGCTTGAATTGATTAGATACTATGAACGAGGCTTTTCCCTTTCTTCCCTTCCCTCCCTTCTTCCATCCCTCCGTCCCTTCCATCTTCTTAATTGCATAGAATACCTTTACCAGACTACCGCTCCCATGCTACACAAGCCCCTTGGAGAAGCTAGCTGGCATCACAGCCACGCAGTCAGGCTCTGGCCCAGGAAGAACAAGGCTTTGTGAAGCTCCCCTTCTTCCAGGCCACAGGGAGTGCCTCCTGTTTCTTACTCCCTTTCTGGCCAGAGGGCCCAGGTGAGGTCTGTCTGTGACAAAAGCAACAAAAACAGTACTTACAGGTTCTTAACGTCTGCGATGCCTCGGAAAGCCTTCCTCGGGATGCCCTGGATCTGGTTTTCGCTCAGATCTCTAAACAAGAAGAGAAGAGGCAGACCAGTCAAAGACCCAAACAGCATTCTGTGCATCTCATTATGATAACAAAACCCTTGGAGGCTGCCTGTGCAGCCCACCAGAAGTGTTTGAGGGGCTGTTTAGTCTCAGGCCCCTGGCTATTACAAGCCTGCACATTGTTTGGCAAGTGAGGACTTCTGCAGAAAGTTACCAGGCGTGGGGGGTGGGAAGATGGGGGGGGGCGCTGAAGGGGCAGTTTGCCTCAGGCCAGGCACTGTGGGTGGTCTCACACCTCCAGGCCATGAGCCAAAGCTCCAGGTTATTTGTTACACACACACTGCCCCCTATTCAGTTCTGGCACCTCCCAGAGAAGATCCTTACTCCCCTCCCCTCAAGAAGTCCCTCTCTAACTCAAGGTCAGCATCACTCAGTCTCCCATTTCTTGGGCAGTCCTTTGATGCTCAGGCTCTCTGCTCTTGTCATTTGGGGTTGGAACTGAGCCTAGTCGCTGGGTTTTCTGATAGGCACAGAGGGCCTCTTATGCATTTCCACATACCCTATTCAAAATAAGGGTCCCACCCCTCATTCTGCACTAGCTGCTTCAACATGGGTACAGAGCATACCCCGTGTGGCTGGCTCCAACCCAAATCTTCTTCTCCCAGCATTTAAGTATCTCCCAGAGCCCCGATTTCCTTCCCTAGAAATCACGCAGGCCTTTCTGGTTTGGTTTGTTCTCTGGTTTCGTTTGTATTTTTAATTTTTTTTTTTTCTGGACCAAACACGTGCATTTGTTTTCATTCAGACCTCAAGCCTGCTTGAATCTCAGAGAGTAATCAATCTGTAAGACCCACGAGGGCCCCAGGCACAAGAGGCAGCACTGCCAAACACTGCAAGCAGCAAGGCTATTTCTATACAGCCACATGCTGCAGGAGCATCTTCGAAAAGGGCTGTGGGAAGGAGATACGTGCATGGAGATGAAGCTGCCTGACTGCCAGCCCTCAGTGCTTTCTTTAGACATAAAAGGTGTATACATACACATACTTGTATACACAAATATACATTCCTGGTATTTTGAAGCAAAAAAAAAAAAAACCCTTAAATAACGAGGGGGGGGGAATATCCAACCACAGACATAACCACTGCTAACAATTGTTAACATATAAACACAGTGCATATAAATTTCACCACCATGGCTTCCTTATATACGGCCTATTCTAAACCATTTTTCACATGTTAACATCTGTCTAGGCTTTTAGCAAGCACGTCAATGCCAACATTTTTAACGACTGCACAGTGTCTAACTGTATGGTTTGTTGTATGACTGCGTTGTTAATGGGCGTTGGCTCAACTTCTGTCGCGTAAAGAAATACCAGGATTAGATGAGTAAGATGGCTCAGCAGGTAAGGAGCTTGCTACTGGACCCGGAAAACCTGAATTCCATCTCTGGAACCCACAGAGTAGAAGAAGGGAACCAATTCCTACAAGTTGTCCTCTGACCTTCACATATGTGCCACAGTATGTACGCACAAGTGTGTGTGTGCGTGTGCGTGTGCGTGTGCGTGGGCGCGCGAGAAGAATTCTTTTTTAAGTGGAAACACTATGATCCATTTCTCTGTCCATATCCTTGGGTATGCTTCTCAGGCACTTCCTTGGCACAAAGTCCTATAGTGAGAACTTGCTGGACACAAGTTAAACCTGTTCTTGCTGAGTGTGTCTACAGATGGATTTGTGATGGACGCTCGCTCACACTTTTGAGAACGCCTCCTCAAATTCTACTGAGAACTTCAAACATACGTGGCTGAAGAGAGCAAATAGCCATGTCCTATGGTGACTGGGCAGTCTACGGGAACACTTTGCAAAATGGGAGGCAGGGAAATCAGAAAGCAGAAGAGAGACATTATCCTCCCTGCCCCCCTTCTGTCACCTGCTGATAAGTGACACATGCTCTGAGCAGCTGTCTGAGCCTCAGGACAGTCGGTCTACCTCGGTCAACTTTCCGGCTCCTAACGAAGGCTCTCTATTCTGATAGGGAGCACCTGTGAATCCTAGACACTTCTGGGGCTGCCTAGAAGAGTGCTCCCCCATCTCAAATTCAGTTTCCCCCTTCTACAAACGATGTAAGTAAATTCTGGTGCATAATGAGCTCTGGTGCAGGCTCCCCCAGCCGGGCCTGATTCAATGAGCAGGGCTCCAGCCTGGAGTCGGGGCACTGAACAAAAGCCCACGATGACAGCAGAGGTCAAGCAGTGTCACCCAGGCCACTGGGCTGTTCTCCATCAGCCTCCACAGAGGGGGCCCAGGTCCTGTCAACCGACTAATGCAATTTCCACCAGGCATCTGGGCAGCACCGGAGGCTCCCGCACCCACAATGGGCCCAGTCCTTCCTGTCGAGGCCAGTCTCCAGACCACAAGCCTCTGTCCAATACCCTCTCAGCTTTTGCTGTTATCTATGGCTGCTAGAGAGATGGGGCCTGGCCACATGTCTAATAAATGGCTGATGAGAAAAAAATCAGGGGAGGGGGAAGAAGTCAAGAACTGACAGCTTTAACCACTCCTGAAAGGCAGCCGGAAGAAGATAGTACCTATTCCTGAAAGGGCATTAACCTATTTTAAACGGGATACGTATCGAAATATGCTGGGCAAGCATAGTAGTTGCACAGAAGTTGTGCCTTAGAGTGCTGAGCGATGAAGATAGGGGCTTGGCGCTTAAACAGAAAGAGATGGTGTACTGAGAGGTGATGGTTCTCATGGGCGGCCTGTGGACAAAACCCTGTGTTTGGGCGGGACAGCTGCTTTGGTTTTTCTGGTTACCACATCCTTCTTGTAAATGTACCCAGCTTTTTAGAGAGCCCAGTAAAAGCCATAGCTTTCTCTCCCGTCTCCTTGTCACTGTATTCCCTGCCTGACCCCTGTCCCAACTGTGTAAAATAGTAGATCGTAGGGAATTTATCCATTCCCCATGACAATCTGCTTGTAAATTTCATTAATTTTATTTTCTATCGAGCCTCTCTTCTCTGGCTAACAATACCAAAGTCATGCATCTGCAGGATTCTATATTGATTTCATAAATACCTCCAGTGGGCTGACAAACTGACAGATTTAATGGTGTTACTGATGGGGCGTGGAGGAGGGGTCAGGGCTGGGTGCCCCCCCCCAACCATCCCTTCACAATTATCACAGGGCCTTTGTGAGGCTCCCTAACAGTGTGTTTATCTCAGCATGATGTCTAAGCACGAGCTATTGTTAAGTATGATCCTTGAGAGAGTCAAGAGCAACCATTTAGGCTGACAATTAAATAAAAATAACAAAATCTAGCCATGATGCCTAAGAGCCTAGTTCTGGCCAATTCTCTAATATCTAACCCTTCACAAGAGAAAGAAATACACAGAAGTGACCAGGAAGGCATTGTTTTTAAAATCTTAAACGCAAGAAAAGCACAGGTTAAAGAAAGGTTGGGCTGTACTAAGTGTGCTAGACTTTTTTTTTTTGGGGGGGGGTGCCAGGAAAAAGATGGCAGGTCGGGAAGGCTTTCTTGGTTGGGAAGTGGGCTATGGATCAGGATGCCTTTTTAAATAATTAGGCCTCTGAAAGCTAAGGAGAACTGCATTAGCTAAAGTGCATTTTCCAGCTTCCGGAAAATGATTAACCGACTGATCATTCCATCCCAAAACACAGGACCAAAGAGGACTTATTAAGGAGACAGTAAGTCAAATAGGAGTTGGCAAGAATGGACACATGCCACAGCCAGCCAGCCCTCCCCCAACCTTTTTAATTTACTAAAATGCTTTGGACACAGATTAACTTTCCTGGCAAATTTATTATTGCTTCATCTACCTTGAAACAGAAACCGCGGACACTTTGATAAATGGATTGAAAGGTTGTCTAGTTCCAGAGGAGCTTTTGAAATTCTTCTTGGGCTCTCTCTGCAATGTCAGGCATGCTTTGTTTTCAGGGCAACAGTGAATGACAGTCCTTGCTTCCCCCACCCCCCCACAACCCCTCCTGCAGGACTCAAGTTGAAGACACTCTGGCGGATACACTTCTTTTAGGTACATTCATTCCGTCTTGTCTGTGTTGAATAGCAATTTACATGTGAGGATGGTGACAGGGTAGGGGGACACGCTCCAAAGTTTCAAACCCAGATGATTACAAATTTCTAAAACAGGTGGAAACTTTCCGAAACATTATGAACGAGCGCTTGTTCCTGAAGTGCACTGCATGACTTCTAAGTTATATGATCATTCAAGTTGCTTCAATACTCTGATTTAGTTCCCTCATCTTCCCAATGGGGTTACTGGTGTGCCAGCTTCCCCAACTGTGGGAACAAACCGTGGGTGCATGAAGAGCACTTTGTATCCCTGGAGCACGGAGAACCTTCTGCTTTTACTTCCCGGGTTTCCTCCTCACATAGGTTTGGATTTATGTAGCTACAAACATCCCCGGTGATCGCCTGCAGGACACATACTTAAAACTGGGTACAGAGTGAAACGCTCTAGTGTTCTTAGTACCTCCTTCCATAAAATCTGAGTGGGAGACTAATGCTTCCCTTGTCTAGCAGCTGCAAAGGACTCTCTGTGTTTGATTTTAGATCATTTCATGATGGTTGAAACAAGAGAGACTGGTTCACGAAGAAGGTTGAGACCAGCTGGGGAAGCACATGAGTGCCTCACTTGGCCATCATCAGAAAAAGCTCCTCCTGCTGTTTCTCCAACCAAGGACCATGTATGGATATAATCTAGAACCCCTGCTCGGATGTAGCCTATGGTAGCTCAGTAGGTTCTCTAGTAAGGGGAACAGGGACTATTTCTGACATGAATGCAATGGTGAGCTCTTCAACCCCTGCTCCCCCGCCACCCCACCCCCCCACCCTGGAGAGAGGAGCAGCTTTGGTAGGCCACAGAAGAGGACATTGCAGCCAGTCCTGAAGAGACCTGATAAACTAGAGTCAGATGGAAGGGGAGGAGGACCTCCCCTATCAGTGGACTTGGAAAGGGGCAGGGAGGAGATGAGGGAGGGAG